GTGTGTGTGTGTGTGTGTGTGTGACTGTGGGTGTGTAACAATGTAGTGTGAGTGCGTGTATATGTGTATGTAAGTGAGTGAGTTGATGTGTATTATGTGTGGGTATGTGTAGGTAAGTGAATGAGATGGAAGTGTTGATATGAATGTAGTGATTGATAATTCTGCATCAGTTGTAGCTTAGGAAAGTGGTCTCAGAATTTTTTCAGTCTCCTCATAGTCTAGTTTATTTAGCCAGTCGCTGACGCTTTCTTTACATTTACTTCTGGTGAGATAATGAATGCTTAGCTCTTTATTTATTTTGTTATATAGATATGGGCCTAAAAAGGTAAAAAAGTTTTGAGTGAAACCAAAATGTTTTCTTTCTATATGGCAGACGGTAGTAAGTCTTCTCCTGCTTGTGGAATTATCCGAATTAAATGGTAGCTGAGAGTGCATTTTTAGAACGGTGTACAGGATGAATCAGTGCCGGATTAAGCCAGCGCGGGGCCTGTAGCAAATTCTGTCTAGGGGCCCTTGGTTTGCTATCGGTTCTCATTTGGGCATTGACTAAAATTGGTGCCTTTCTTTTTTCTGGCGGCAGTCGATCATTTATGGAAAATATTGTCTAGAATAACATTACAAACGAAATTGTCTATGGGCTCATGTATGGAAATGTCTCTGGACTGAGTTATGAGCGTTGAAAGGAGCTGAAGTCAAATATTTTACTTTGGTTTTTTTATTCAAATTATTCATATTTTTGTCACAATTCCCAACTTTAAATTGCGCGCAACTGTGTGTCGGGCACAGGAACACCATATGACACCACAATATATTCATATTGCCAGGCACTAATTTTTATTACCTATTTTCTCTCAGTCGATAACTTGTGGGATGCTTCTAGGAGTTGTGTCATGAAGCTTCATGAGCCTCAGCTATGTTACCAGTTGAGTGGTGGTAGCCGTGCGAACATCTAATAAAGTATATTTTGTTTTGCCATTGACTCCTGGTGGGAGACTCATCTACTTTCTAGTTCGCATAATCTTTTGAAGAAAGGAAACCGTCGACTTTGTAAAGTGATATACGTCAGATGAGCGTATAATTTTTTTCATATAATGTGATCAGTCGAAATATAATCCATCACTTTGTGACTGAATGACGATATTTTTGTACAGAATCTTATGCTAACTGTAGATTAGAGTATTAACTGTAGTTAAATTAGTGACTAATCGCGAGTAAGTCAGGAGAAGTAGACAGAAAAAATATTTTTTCGTGTTTTGACGATTGTCACTACTCAATCCGCTACCGACGCCGCAGCTGACAAACATAGCATTTCGTGATAGGGCTCAGTAAAGTATTTTGCGGGTTTTCGACTGAGAAGATATTGAAACTTACATGAAAACCTGTCATAGGCCATAAACCGTATACACAGGTATAAGGTGAACACGCTAGCCAAGCAAGCGAAATGTTTTTTTTTACTTGAGCAGTGGCCAGTTAATGTTTGACTCTGTTATGATTCCGTGGCCTTATAAAAAAAAGATAAAGAAGTCCACTATAAGCTTTACTATATTCCTTGAAATCGTTTATAAACATGGATTACAAAATATTTCTGACAAGTAAATGAAGAAATATGCGTTGTGTACGGTCAACATCAACAAAATAACAGGAATTATATAGCACTATTTTCACATCTTTGAAATGATTTAACTCGGTTTGGTCTGTGTTTTTTTGTTTGTAATGTTATTCTGCATCCGTTTTTACACATCCAATAAACTGCCGCGAAAAAATAAAAAGGCACCACGCTCCATACAAATTTGGTCATTGTCATTTAGGGTATTACAAAAAACAAAACTGTTACAAACAAACTTTTCTGGATTTGTTATGGGCAAATTTAGCGATTACACTTTCAATATTGACTTCTTTAAGCAAGTCATGCTCTAAATTAAGTAAAATCGCGGGTTACTCACGTGAATATACTGAGAAAAGCTCTACTAGTTTCGAACCACAGAGGGGTTCTTCCTCATGAGCAGCGTGCGCGGTCGCGGCGACACGTCGCGCAGCTCACTGTATATTCACGTGAGTAACCCGCGATTTTACTTAATTTAGTATGTCTCACGATAGTTATTATAAAAACAAGTCATGCTCTATATTCAACATTGTGCTTGGACCATAGTCTTCCTTAATAAAATTTTAATTCGTTTAAATCGGGCTTGGTTCGCCCGCCAATGGCACCAACCAAGCGCACAAATACTAACTGTCCTTTTCTTACACATACAAAATACCGACTATTTGTCTTTTTTCGTTTATTTCGTTAAGAAAAAAATCAAATTACTTGTAGGTTGATAGTAGTTTTGTAAACAAACATTTTCTTCATAAGTCTTGCTGTTGAAGTGGTGTAATTGCGAAATACCTATTTGAGCGCGGGGCCCACCAATCCGCGGGGCCCGTAGCATTTGCTACTCTTGCTACGTGGCTAATCCGGCACTGGGATGAATAGCTGGCGAACTGTCAGAACATTGAATCGCTGATATAGATCATAGGTTGGGTAACGGAAAGGCAGGAATAAACTTACTTTAAGGATAGCCCTTTGGGCTCGTTCTAACTTGAGTAAGTAAGATTTGGCTGCACCACCCCACGACGTTATGCAATAGGTAAAGACGGATTGACATAAGGCATAGTATACAGTTTTAATTATTTTGTTATCTGCTACATGGCGAAGATTCCTAAAAATAAAGATTAATTTGCGGGTTCTGGTGGTTAGTGCCTCAATATGTAATTGGAAGTCGAGTTTATCATCGATAATAACACCGAGGTACTTAATGTTGTTTGTTTTTTTTAGTTCAGGGCAGTGACATGTTCCTGGAGGAGTTATGTGGCAAGTGTGTGCGGTTAAATGTAAGTTTGTATGTATTATTTATTATTATTATTATTATTCCTGGAGGAGTTATGTGGCAAGTGTGTGCGGTTAAATGTAAGTTTGTATGTATTATTTATTATTATTATTATTATCGAATTATAAAAATGTTTTTTTTTCGATATTACAAATTACATTACATTATATTACAGGTTACAGACACCTTTTTTCAACGTGCTTGTACAAAAATATGAAATTAAACATCAATCAAACACAAACATAGTATTTATTTTTGGTTGAATCAATTATTATTTGCTTTTCATAACCTAGTTACATATCGACCACATTTTAAATTTAAGATCACATATTATTAACAATATTATTACTTTAATAAGAGTTATTTTTTTTTTTTTTTGTTAAGCTGTGGAATAAATAATATAAATTATTACTAATTTGGATTAACTGTAGACTTTACAACCCCTATACATACTTATTATACTCTTTGGACTTTACCTTTTATATGGCAACACCGAAGTTGTAATGCCAACCTAAAGACCTCAATCTTGAACAACTTCCTTTTTCTCGTGTACTTTTGACAACACGAGGTTATAATCGCTGTTGTGCTTTAAAAAGTATGTATTTATTTTAAATCAAGTGAATGTTTGTGTGGTTTTATTACTTGTGCTAAATACTAATTCGTGAATGTTTATTTGTAGGCATCATAATGGCTGAAGAAAGCTGGAACGATGAAAGTGTCGAAGCGGGCAGCATGGCTATTGACAGCGCGCCCCTGCCCCTAGCCGCCGACATTCCTGAAATCAAGCTGTTTGGAAGGTGGAGTTGCTATGATGTTCAGGTGTCTGACATGTCCCTGCAGGATTACATCTCAGTCAAGGAAAAATACGCGAAATACTTGCCCCACTCCGCCGGCAGGTATGCACACAAGAGATTCCGTAAGGCTCAGTGCCCCATCGTCGAGCGTCTGACCAACTCACTGATGATGCACGGACGTAACAATGGCAAGAAACTTATGGCTGTCCGTATTGTGAAGCACGCCTTTGAAATCATTCACCTTTTGACGGGTGAAAATCCTCTTCAGGTGCTTGTGACAGCTATCATCAACTCCGGACCTCGTGAAGACTCCACTAGGATCGGTCGTGCTGGTACAGTGCGTCGTCAAGCCGTGGATGTGTCCCCCCTGCGCCGTGTAAACCAAGCCATCTGGTTGTTGTGCACCGGTGCCCGTGAAGCGGCATTCAGAAACATCAAAACGATTGCCGAGTGTGTTGCTGATGAACTTATCAACGCAGCAAAGGGTTCTTCAAACTCTTATGCCATCAAGAAGAAGGATGAGTTGGAGCGTGTCGCTAAGTCCAACCGTTAAAACCTTTATTTTAAGATATGTCTCAATAAAAAAAAGTAAGAATTCTCTAGTTTTATTTTAAACAGAACAGCCCTTAGGACACTGGTTCAATAAGTGAAAATTTATGAATATATTCTGTGTGTCAATACATTAGCATTTGATTTGTAAACTTTTATTTAAATTCTTTAATTATTATTAAAACTTGCTGAAAATGAGCCATTCAGGTACCTATATTGTCTTGGTAACAAAGTTTATTATAATAACATTGTATTTTATGCGAGGACATAGATATCCATGTAATAGGATTTAAAAGAGGTTCTTAAATCAATGTATTTATTTTGCCTATTAAAATACTATTCTATTATTTTGCTATCCTGATATTTAACTTTGTTTATGTTACTAATACAAACTTGTTCATTCAAGACAGATTTGGCAAGATACATATTGTTGTTTTGAATTTTTCGTTTAGGTAATGTTGGAGACAAAATATTTTTTAGGTTCATATAAAGTCTTGAAGTGGTTGTGAATTCATTCATTGTAACGGCAACCACGTGGACATACTGTACAATGTACATAGCTCAAAAACAATTCACTTCACGAGGTTAGTGCTGTGAAATGATAATAATAATCGATTAAAATAATTTCGGTTCATATACAAAATTGTTGAAGTCCGCAAAGTGACTTGTCGCGTCGATTCGTGTTCGAAGGCGTTAAAAGAATTTCTTGATATTTTATTATTTTCGAAATGTTCGTATACATAAGTTAGGAGACAAAATAACACGTACAATATAATAAGTAAACCTTACCTGACAAACATATTTTAGGGAAATCTAATGACTATTTATTATTCTGAACATAAAGTATACTTAATTTAGCATTCGATTGGCCAAATATAAAATATATTTAATTATTAATTTGAGAAGTAATAATTAATAAGAATCGATTTATAAAACTAATTTGTAACATCTCTACTAAAATACTAGTGACATACGTCGACGTTTCGACGTCAGATGTCTGTCAAACTGTCAATAATTTTGAAGTAAAAGTTTATCGAAAGTGGTGTAAAAAAACCAAAAGTGAAATAAAAATACAGGATAACGTCGAAACATTGAAGTGAAAGCACAATAAGAATAATTTATTTAATCTCTTTACAGTTCTAGTAGAATAAAAATCGCTCGTAGTGGTAAAGCCACAATGATTCACAGTTTATTTATTATAAATCCATCTGGGTATGTATTTTACTTTCATTTGGTATCAAGTAGGTAAACGAAATTAACTAGTTTTCTATAGTATCTAAATTATAAATTCTACTTTAATCTTATTGTAATAGAACTGGAATTCGGTCGTTTTCGTAGAATTTATTTTCTCATCACATTCGAACATTACTTCGCGCCCTGATGTTTCTGGAGATAGACAGAGGTAGGTTTACATAGTAATCATATTAAAAATATCCTTACTATGTAAACATATTATAACATATATTATATGCTCGTTTGCCTCCTATTCCATAAAAAATAAGGTCTGTAACTTCCCTTAAGATTATAAACTTCTATAAAGTTATCTGCAGTGATTTTCTCATTATTATGCTGTTTTATAAACTGAAACATTGTTTTTTCAATGTACAGAGCAGCATATTAATTCCTATAAAAAGGTTCAATAAAACACTACTATAGAAGCCCCTTTTATCAACAATCTAGGCACCAGATTATAAGATTTACTGTAAAAATATACTGAATACTTTTTCAGGGATGTATTTCTTGAGAAGCATTGGAGAAGTGTGGTGCCAAGATCAGTATGCGACTATTATTTGGAGGCACAGAGGGCATCTCCTAATGTATGTACCAAAAAAAACTTCAGTAATGCCTATAATAAAGGTATCTCTATTCATCCTTTAAAATATATGTAAAATGTTACATTAAAACTTTTTTTAGGATGTTCCTCCAGTGTTGGCGGCACCACATCACTATTTGATATCAATACAGAGAGGTGGGGTAGCCCTTGTAGCTGTGTGCATGCAGGAGGTAGCTCCACTCTTTGTGATCGAGTTCCTGCATAGAGTTGTTGATACATTCCAAGTAAGAAAAAAAAATTCAATACAGATAATTTATATTGCATTTTCCTCTGTTATAAGTAAAATGTATGGAATATTAAATAGAATAATCTGTTTGAACAGATGTGCAAATGTTTAAATGTGTGTTAAGTACTGATAACTCTATTTATCTCTTTTGCAGGATTACTTTTCAGACTGTACTGAGACTATAATTAAAGAGAACTATGTAGTAGTTTATGAGGTATTTCTTTATATTTCTTTCTAATTATAAAATTACTATGAAGTGTATTTAATTTAGTAGTAATGCACTTATTCTGTTTTGTACATTTCAGTTGTTGGATGAAATGCTTGACAACGGCTTCCCTCTGGCCACAGAGAGTAATATCCTAAAGGAATTGATTAAACCACCTAATATTTTAAGAACTATTGCTAATACTGTTACTGGGAAATCTAAGTAAGTAGTATGAAATAATGAACTACCTTATTAATTACAGGAACTACTTAAGCACTAGTGGAACCTAAACCTTATAGGGAATAGCTACATGTTTAAATACTCAAATGTCACTCAATATTAAGACATTCCCAAGAATACTTCTGACAAAGGTAGTATGATACTTAAGTACAACTTAAAATTGAGTATTATTTCAATATTGGGGCAGTAGATTTAAAGATAAACTAGGTACAAAAGTTGTATTTATTAAATTATGGTCATTTTTTACTAATAAACTAGTGTTTTTATAATAACTATCGTGAGACATACTACGGGGATGTCGCGCAGGCTACTGAATCTCCGCGACCGCGCACGCTGCTCATAAGAACCCATGAAGGAAGAAATCTGTGGTTTGAAACTAGTAGACATTTTTTCTGTATATTCACGTGATTAACCCGCGATTTTTAGTTAATTTAATAAACTAGTCTTTCCAGCTTGGGCTGCAGACATAATTTAATCAATTATGTACATATTTATTTCTGTGTAATTACAGTGTATCCTCAACACTACCTTCCGGCCAGTTATCGAACGTGCCATGGCGTCGCTCCGGTGTCAAGTATGCTAATAACGAAGCTTACTTTGACGTTGTAGAAGAAGTGGACGCCATTATTGATAAAAGTGGTGCTACTGTGTCTGCTGAAATACAGGGTTATGTAAGTAACTTTACCTATTGACAATTAATTATAATACAGATAAATCAAAGAAAATGTGACAGGGAATCTCAACATAACATTATAACATTTATTTTAATATTTGTTGCAATATCACAATGGGTCTAGCCTGTAAGGATATTTGTATGTTATGTGTAAATAAATAAATAAGATAAATAAATAAACATTACACCCTTTATACCCTAGAAGCAAGAGAACACCCGTTTTCGGATATATATTGGAAAATGATTGAGCCTATGGCATGAATTATTTATCGTAATACCACCTGTCTGACACTTCCTCCCGCCTCACCCAGGCGGGAGCAGTCATTTGATGATTTTCCTCACTTGAAAAAAAAAAATCGTAATTCCACCTAATTTGCCTAGGAATCGAACTCTAGACATCTTTTTCGGCTCACAAAGCAATTTTAAAATTTAGTAAGTCTTATCCAGTATTACAGTTGCATAATAATGATGCCTGAGTTACAGATTTCGAACCTAGTTCATGCGCATGACATGTCATAGCAATAATAATATAGAATTAAGACATAAATATGCAATTTCTGTTTATATTTATTGAATAAAAATAATATTTATTATAAATCATCACTTCTTATCTTTCAGTCAGCAATTAAACGTTATCTCAATTCGCTTGATATTAACAGTACTTCTTAAAATAATTTCAGATTGACTGCTGCATTAAGTTAAGTGGGATGCCGGATCTGACCCTCACATTTGTAAATCCTCGCCTGTTTGACGATGTCTCCTTCCATCCTTGTGTCAGATTTAAACGGTGGGAGGTAAGTACACTGAAACTTATTAATTGGTGTACACATGTTTGTGATTTTATGCCTTATATCATATTTGTTAAACTAAAATCTTTCATCTTTTTATGGTGCCACTTCATTCCTGAAGGTCAGCTTTTTAAATTGGTCCTTGTTATTGGCCAGGCGGAAACCTCATTCCACAGAGATAATATCGGTCCACTCCCGGATATTGCGCAGCCACTGCTTTTCCTCCGTCCAAACACGACAGACAGATACGACAGACAGATACGACAGACAGACACGACAGACAGACACGACAGACAGACACGACAGTCAGACACGACAGACAGACACGACAGTCAGAAGCGACAGACAGACACGACAGGCAGACACGACAGACAGAAGCGACAGACAGACACGACAGACAGACACGACAGACAGACACGACAGACAGACACGACAGACAGAAGCGACAGACAGACACGACAGACAGACACGACAGACAGACACGACAGACAGACACGACAGACAGACACGACAGACAGACACGACAGACAGACACGACAGACAGATACGACAGACAGACACGACAGACAGACACGACAGACAGACACGACAGACAGACACGACAGACAGACACGACAGACAGACACGACAGACAGACACGACAGACAGACACGACAGACAGACACGACAGACAGACACGACAGACAGACACGACAGACAGACACGACAGACAGACACGACAGACAGACACGACAGACAGACACGACAGACAGACACGACAGACAGACACGACAGACAGACACGACAGACAGAAGCGACAGACAGACACGACAGACAGACACGACAGACAGACACGACAGACAGACACGACAGACAGACACGACAGACAGACACGACAGTCAGAAGCGACAGACAGACACGACAGGCAGACACGACAGACAGAAGCGACAGACAGACACGACAGACAGACACGACAGACAGACACGACAGACAGACACGACAGACAGACACGACAGACAGACACGACAGTCAGAAGCGACAGACAGACACGACAGGCAGACACGACAGACAGAAGCGACAGACAGACACGACAGACAGACACGACAGACAGACACGACAGACAGACACGACAGACAGACACGACAGACAGACACGACAGTCAGAAGCGACAGACAGACACGACAGGCAGACACGACAGACAGAAGCGACAGACAGACACGACAGACAGACACGACAGACAGACACGACAGACAGACACGACAGACAGACACGACAGACAGACACGACAGTCAGAAGCGACAGACAGACACGACAGGCAGACACGACAGACAGAAGCGACAGACAGACACGACAGACAGACACGACAGACAGACACGACAGACAGACACGACAGACAGACACGACAGACAGACACGACAGACAGACACGACAGACAGAAGCGACAAACAGACACGACAGACAGACACGACAGTCAGACACGACAGACAGAAGCGACAGTCAGAAGCGACAAACAGACACGACAGTCAGACACGACATATAGAAGCGACAGTCAGAAGCGACAAACAGACATGACAGACAGAAGCGACAGTCAGACACGACAGTCAGACACGACAAACAGAAGCGACAAACAGACACGACAGACAGACAGACACGACAGAGACAGACAGGCACGATAGACAGATTTCATAAGATATAGATAAATAGGTTGAATAACATGTATTTTTTTTTAATAATACAATTTATTTCTTCCAGTCTGAAAGAATACTATCATTCATCCCACCGGACGGTAACTTCCGTCTCATGTCGTATCACATCGGATCCCAGAGCGTGGTCGCGATACCAATGTATGTACGACACAACCTGACGCTGCGATCCAATGGGGACCAGGGCCGGTTGGACCTCACCGTTGGACCTAAACAAACTATGGGACGGACTTTAGAAAGTAAGGTTTAGTTCTTTTTTTATTTACATGTAAAAAAAAAATGAGGTGCTGCACGACAATCCAGAACTATAAACAGATACAATAAAGCGTGATATTTGTCGTTTTAAGAGTGAGCACTGACTAAAGTTCCAGTAGCTAAACTGAATGATTACTGGAGTCACTGCAATCTACTGGATATTTTAAAATTCTCAGTACGAGAGTTTGAGCTAACTTATAATATATTTGGCGAGAAAGGATACGACAACTTTCTTATGAATGGTATTTTTTTAGATGTATCATTGGAGATCTGTATGCCTAAATGTGTGTTGAATTGCTCTCTGACCGCAAACCAAGGCAAATATTCTTACGACCCTGTTAGCAAGGTGCTGCTGTGGGATATAGGACGCATCGAATTACCGAAGCTGCCAAATATTAGAGGGACTGTGAGTATACACATCTTTTATTTATTAATCTAACGTTGGTTCCACACTAGCATTTACCCTTGTGTCGTGCATGTGCTTAGAAACAAATTCATATACATACCACACTTAGACCCAGAACAATTTGCGGATCACACACAGAATTGTTCCTCGCGAAAATCGTTGCACTGCAGTCGGTTACCCAACCACTGCTCCAGTGATACAGTCAAAAATTAAGTGAATAAATAATAGGGCCCACAAGCTAATTAAACTATTTTTTTTACTCTGTCTCTTTACTTTTTTACTTTTTACCAACTACTGTATTTCGTACATACTTCTTTAAGTTTCCATCGCATTAATAACATCGAATCATACAATTATTATTTGTGCATACTTAATTATTACTTAAAATTACCTACAGGTGTCAGTAGCAACAGGAGCAGACACCACTGGAGCGAATCCGAGCATCAACGTGCACTTCACGATCCCTCAACTGGCAGTCAGTGGGCTGAGAGTCAGCCGCCTAGACATGTACGGCGCTAAATACAAACCGTTCAAAGGCGTCAAGTATGTCACCAAAGCCGGAAAGTTCCATGTGCGCATGTGATCGGAGGCTGATACGCGAAGACCTTGGATGTGCTAAGAGATGATGAGACAACCAGACAAGAGGACGTTATCTGTCAGTTAGGTAATAAAAATATTTGACGCGTATTTGGTGAGTTGATGCGTACCCGTCGAGCTAGCATGAAGCGATTGATAAACAAAAAAATTAATCAGAATCGTAATTTGTGTATTCCACTGTCTCTGCCTACCTCATATCAATGGGATACAAGAATCGTTATCGACGATATCTAAGTTAAAATAAAAATGAAATGTGAAGAAATATTGTGTCAAATATTTTTATATTTATGATGACAGACTGATGCCGGAATACTGAAACGTTACTCAATTTTAAGTCGTACTCAAATATCGTGCCATCTCTGTCATTTTACAAAGAATTTGTAGAGATAGAACTATACTTAAGCACGACTTAAAATTGAGTAGCGTTTCAGTATTCCGACATGAGTGTTTTTAATCATCATCTCTATTGCCTACGAGTTGCAACTCGTTAACAGTGGCACCAGTGTGTTTGTAGGGAAATACGGTCTGAATATCTCGGAACAAATGTTTTATTTTTTCATTATAATAATAATTTTTTTAATTTTTTATCTTAGTTAAATATTATGTCATGGATGTTATGCGATGTATAATGTGTATGTATGTGACTGTAAGGAATTGTTGTAATCGGCAATATTGTACCAACTATTTTAGTTTTACATTTCGTCGATTAAATGGAAAAATGGCATTTCTCAAATTTTTTGGAAAATAAGATTATTGCATAAAACGAGTCTACTAACAAGATTATTTTATACGTAAAAACGACACTTTAAATAGTTTACGCCAAGTTTACCAGATGTCGCAAGTGTCATTTTGCTTATCTGTGGTTTTTAATGAAATTAAAAACTTCAAACGTTTATACTGTAAAATTTGTACTTTCTGAATAACGTCATTTTTCTATTTAACCGACGATTTGGTGTTGATAGTTGAGGAATTATGGGGTTACCTGGAAAATTTTCTAGGAGTTTTGAAATTTGCGGCCAAAAACAGTTTTTTTGCAATATCGTAAAATGCACAGGAAAAGAGGTATTAAAAAAATGTTTTTGACCGCTATTTTTCCAAGATGGAGGCGTGAGTGGGCGCACTTACGAAGGTTCAAAACGGAAATCGAAAAGAGCACGTTAAAAATAGTTTTTAAATATAATATATTTAATAAAATTGCCAATTTTCAAAAGTACCGGAGAACAATCCAGGCAGAACTACCAAATTATTGAACTACCCAAATATGTTCCATTACTTTGTCTGAATATTTGGCGGAAAGTTATTTGAAAGCATGAGGGCGATGTAAAATGAAGTCAGAATGTATAAATATTACCGACACTTCTTACCTAGTTAGGGTATGTAAGTAATGAATTAACTCACGAAAACATATTTATTATGTCATAGGTATATCAGTGTATCCATGTCGAAATACTTTAGAATAAGTTGTAAATAATATATTTTATTCCATGTTAATTTACTTATATTATTAAAACAATATTATGCAGCATATTCATGACTTTTATTGAGAAAAATAAAACTAAATTACATTATTTTTAGAAAACTTTTATAATGAATGAAGTAGATAATTATTATCAATAATAATAATTAAACAATTCTTAATTAAACAATTATTAAATAGTAGGTACATGATGCTTGATGTTCGACAATATTTGCTACAGATTAAACAACCGGTTGGTTGTATTTCATTAAATATTCGCAATTTCACACCTAATAACCAGGTTTGGTTATTAGGTGTGAAATTGCGAATATTTTTATTGTAAAAAGATAAAGCCTTATAACCGAAAACATCAATGTGACAACCCTGATACAGAAGCCTTAATCCTCTCGATACTCGAATGCTAGCAACGAGTATTTATAATTCTTAGTTTTTGGCGTCAATGCCAAATCCATTGCACCAACGAAGGTAAATTAGTTCTGAGTGTGGACGCTTAAGATTCAGGCCTATAAGACGTGCAAAGATTCCGTGGAATTTTGATGCAGGCAATATTCCTGCGCAAAGCGGCCACTTCACACTCAACTCTATGAGCGGTTATCATCGAGCTGTCTTTATCTCTAAAGTATCGCTGCACCAGAACAGACATCAGCGCCGGATACTCTTTCTGAACATTTGCTTCCACATCACGCTCCTAATGCAAAAATAATTAACATTAAACGGCCCGTTTTGTTCACACGCAAACTCCCGAGACAACGGACGGATGCGATATTAATCGGTTACCATTCACTTCAAATTCCAAATGCTTTTCTAATCTGAGTATCGATGTTTTATATTGAGGTCAGATTGTAGCTCCTGTCTTAGTCTGCGTAAAATACTGATCATTTAGTTTCAATTAATCACTTCTGTATTTCTTCTGCTAATATATTAATTCCGTTTGACATTGCACCAAAATAAAGTACCGTACCTATCTCTTTGCCCGTTGAAGTGTTAATAAAGTGTTTATGGAACAATTACTATTGCTTCCTGGTAATAGCTGAAGGTTTTCGCATGTACCTACGCTTGTAAGAAGAAATAAGGTGATAAATAAAGGGGGCCCAGCATATTAATGTTCCATTGTGTGTTTTATGAATTAAGTAACACCATTCATCGATTCATTGATACGGGTATTGTCAAGTTGCGTTACGTTTCTCTGGGAATCAAGATGGAACGGAACCTAAGTTACCTAATGCCTCATGCATACGAACTTCCCACATGGATCACTCAAGAAAATGTGCAACGGCACTCAGGTCGTAGATTTATGTAGGTACCGTCTGTTGATTGTCTAGGTCAGTGTTTTTCAATCTTTCTGATTTCGCGACCCCTTTACAAGTTGAGAAAATCTGGCGACCCCCTTGTGTCATACAAAGACTAAGAACTAATAAAATTTAATTAAGACTATATACGTTAATGATTTTTTTTCTATTTTGGTACCTTTATCAATTATTCAGGTCTACTCTGCAAGAAGCTGCGAGAGTATTGAAAGTAAGTACGAGGTAAGTTGTTAAAGCTACGCGCGATATAACTCGTTGAGTACCGTCCGACCCACGGAATATAGAATACAATGGAAGTAGCAAGTAGGCGTAGCACGCGTGCCACAACTAAGCTGTGCACTGCGTACTCGAGGCAAATTCGAGTTCAGTCTCATTAGAACATGGCGTCGAGTTGCTAGTCTCGTGTCAAATACATATTTCCTCAACTATGCCGTTTTGTTCCGTTTTGGCGTGTAAAAATAATAGCAGCCGAAAAATCGTAAAAATGGAGGTGTTCCGTATCATCGTTAAGTACAATTTTTATTGTTTTCTTGTAGAAATCTTATTTTATTTCAATTTACAAAAACAGTTATTAAAATAATATTATTTACTAAAACGGTTAGTAAAGTCAACCTTACGCCTTCAAGATAAAGTTTATTTTGGATTTATTCCATTCAATAGAACATTCTCGCCAGTTCTACGCTACTCAAATAGTGATGTAGTCAAATCACATATTGAATTTATCGATTGATATCGATGCAAGTGTAATGTAACATTTATTTAGATTATTTTTTTAATATTATTTTAATGGTGACCCCGACGTGATTGGAAGCAACCTTCACTTCACGGAGCAGATCAGCACCGTCATCCTTATCGCCATCCCTCTCATTTATCACATTATCCATATAAAGTTTGTAAAAATTTATGTAATAGTTGTTACTTATATTGCC